ACAACCCTGAGGTTACCACTTGAGCTGAAACCAATAGTCAGAAGCTTAACTGACTGTGCCACCCAGGTGCCCCTCTATTAATTGAACATTAATGAAGAAAGCAGAGAGAACCAAATCCTGAGAAAATTAATTATCCTAATGTTAAACCAACTATAAAGTGAGTGAAGCATTTTGTATAACAAATTGTTACTCAGAATACTATAGCAATTCATTGGACTTGGCATCATAACATATTCAGTTCAGTAATTATGGAAAGCATACACTCGTACCTATAAAACTTTTGGCTTGAAAATATTCTATGGTTTCAATATGGAAAACAGTTGAGTTCCTTATTTCAAACTTTGGTATCTCCAAAAAGATTAGCATCGTAGAACAGATTATGTCTGAGACTGTGACTATTTTTTAATATATTCAGAATTTAAAATCTTGCAACTGGAGAGTTAAATGAGTAAAAATGTTGATTATTAAAAAAAATGTTGATTATAAAATATCTATCACTAATTACAGGGAATATGTCTCAGAGTTGTGTGATAAATATATCAATTAACCTTTTAAAGCTCTGATTACTGCTTTCTCTTTGCAACCTCCCATAGAGCAAAGAAATTCATTCTAACAATTTTTTACAGTGGTTTATGTTGAGTAAATTGCCTTTGAAAATATTATGTCTAAACCACCCCCAATATTGGGAAGATATTTTATCCACAGTTACATATAAAGAAATTGATTTTTAAGGAGGGGTTACATTACTAAATCAAAGTAACAAAGCTAATAAGTAGCAAAGTGCTTTGCCATTCTGTATATGTACTGCTGGTGGATGATTAGTTCATTTGTCTTTGAATGGTTACAGTAATGATGTCTGTTTCTCAAGGCAACTGAACTATTATCACCCACATCATATCTCATAATCTCTCAGCAATTCAATATGAGTAGATCTCAGTACCCCTCCTAGAACTAGACGAGATTATACATCATCACATTAATCCCTGACCACAGTCATGAGTTCTTCTGCAAAGGCCTTACTAAATCTGCTCTCTCTTTTCCCTGCTCTAGGGATCATCTGCACAGAGTTATAGAAATCCAGAAATACTGACTCAAAATGAAGGTTTCAAAGTGCACCTCAAACCAATACTCTTCTTCCTGTTTCTGTTACAGAATGGGGCATTATTTTTCTGGCTTTCCTGGCCATATTCTCCTTACCCAGTTGCCTGAACCTCACCTTAAATTATTCTTTGCTTACAGTATTTCTAAATTTCAAAGTAGAAGTGAATGATTTGAATTAATTAATTAAGCTCATGTTCTGAATGCACAGATTTACTCATCTCTCCAATAAGAAGAGATCCAAACTCTTGAACAACTTCTGGATGAGGATACCTATAAGATTGCCAATTGCATTTTCACATTCCTCTAACCATTAGAAAAATTTCTTATGAAGTCTCTTTGTCTTTACATTCTACCCATTGTATCTAGTTCTCTTCAGTAGAAACATGCAGAATAAACCTAATTTTCTGCCATTAAAAAAAGCTTTTGAAATATGTGAAGAGACATAAGTGTAGAGAGAACATGACAGAGAGTTCATAGACTCATACACGTAAAAACAATATATAGTAAGTGTACCACTGATCACTAACAAAAGATGGGCTGTCTTACAGTTGGTATTGGAGAAACTGGCTCAATACAGTGAAAAATAAAGCTGAAGCAAAACATAAAGATAGATTTCATGTGAACTAATTATCTAAAAGGAAAATGCAAAACTTTAAAAGTAATGTGGAACATCTTTGACATAAAGGTAAGATAGGTCTTCTTAGATAAAATTTCAAAATTACAAATCATAGGATTAATAATCTTCCATTATGCACACTATGGACAAAGACAAATGAGCATTTAGATGATAATTGCAATGTGTAAAAAATGACAAGGGAATAATATGACGAATATACAATGAACTCCTACAAATCAGTAAGAAAAGACAGAAACCCCAATGAAAAAATATGCAAAGGATATGGAAGTAAGAAACAAAGTTTAACATATATTTGAAAAAATACAAATATTCAAACTTTTTAGTAATCAGAGAAATATAAATTAAAACAACAAGATGATATCACTTTCACTTATCAAACAAGCAAACATTAGAAGGTTAGATGATACCAAGTTTTGGCATAGATGTGAGGACATAACTGCAATTTTAGGGTTTTGGACTGGTGTCAACATTCTAAAAAGTCACCTGGCTTTTGCACAGCAAAGGAAACCATCAACAAAACAAAGATACCCTACTGAATGGAAGAAGATATTTGCAAATGATATATCTGATAAGAGGTTGATATCCAAAATATATAAAAAAACTCACACAACTCAACACGAAAAAAAAAAAAATCTGATTAAGAAATGAGCAGAGGACCTGAATAGACATTTTCCCAAAGAAAATATACAGATGGCCAACAGACCATATCACTAATCATCAGAGCAATATAAATCAAAACCGCAATAAGATATCACCTCACACCTGTTGGAATGGCTAAAATCAAGAAGCTAAGAAATGACAAATGTCAGCAAGGATGTGCAGAAAAAGGAACCCTCATGCACTGGTGGTGGGAATGTAAATTGGTACAGCTGCCGTGGAAAACAGTATGGAGGTTCCTCAAAAAGTTAAAAATAAAAATACCATATGCCCAATAATTCCACTACTGGGTATTTACCTCAAAAAAAATGAAAACGCTAATGTGAAAAGTTAAATGCACCCCTTGTTCATTGCAGCATTATTTACAATAGGCAAGACATAGAAGTATCCATTAAAAAACAAATGGATAAGGAAAATTGGTGTATATATATAATATATATACGTGTGTGTGTATGTGTGTATATACACATATACATATACATACATAAACAGTGGGATATTACATGGCCATAAAAAAGGCTGAGATTGTGCCATTTGAGACCACATGGATGGACCTAGAGGGTTTAATGCAAAGTGAAATAAGTCAGACTGAGAAAGACAAATACCGTATAATTCTACTCATAAACGGAATCTAAAAAAAAAAAATGAATAAACAAAAAGCAGAATCAGAACTCTAAGTATGGAGAACAAACTGATGGTTACCAGAGGGGTTGGGCAAAATGGGTGAAGGGGAAAGAGTGATACAGTCCTCCAGTTACGGAATGAGTAAGTCAAGGGAATAAAAAACACAACCTAAGGAATACAGTCAATGATGTTTTAATAGCAATGTAATGGGACAGACAGTAGCTATACTTGTGAACATAGCGTAATGTTTAAACTTGTCAAATCACTAAGTTGTACACCTGAAAGTATTATAACATTGTATGTCAACTATACTCAAATTTTTTTAAAAAGTAACCTGGCAGTAGTTAGTAAAATTAAGTATAAACACACAATGTGCCCCAGCAATTCAGATCCCACAAGGGAACATGTGTTTATTGTAGCAATGTTGTGGTGAAGGGGATCTGGGGACAGTTGTGTGAATCACTGAAATAGTGAATGAGAAAAATCTTATATATAAACTATATAGAGTATCATGCAGCAGTAGAAATAACATTCTAAATGCACACATAGTAACACAGATGGATCTGTCAACACAAATCATGCTGAGTGAAGAAAGAGGAAAGAAAGAAAGAAAGAAAAAGATGTCATTTATATAAATTAAAATATGTAATATAATAAACAACTGTCTTGAACTTTTGTGGAATGAAATGACTGCATATAAAATACAAGATGGCTGCAAATGCAGGATGGGAGTGAGAAAGAAAATAAAAGAGAAATAACAGGATAAATATGTTTGGAAAAAAGAGCCCTTTGTGGACAAATAACATGATATAAACAGGGATTATATAAAGTGTAACCCACTATACTCAAAGACCAGCTTTAGGTGAAGACATCAGTTGTGCCCCTGTCCAAACTCAAATTGCTATAAAGACAAATATCCATTTACCTAACTTTTTGCTTCCCCCACCTTTTGTCCTTTACCCTTGATATTCAAGACCTATGGGGTTTTGTCACACATTGTTGGCTGACCAGCACAACCTCTGTCTACAGCTCCTTTTCCTTTACCCACCATTAGCTGAGAGTGGCCACATAACGCAGTAATGGTCAATGAGGTGTAGGCAAATGTGTTTTTATCTGGGATAAAAGTCACACAGCAAGAGTGGGGAACAGAAAGAAAGAAGTCACACAGCAAGAGGGGGCAATCACTGATTTTCTTGAGCAGTTGCAATAGCCTTAATTGGCTTACTCCAAAATTTGTTGTTTCACATATTTCAAAAAATGCTGTTTAAATTAATATCGTTGCCCCTTTATTACCAAGACTCAAACCCGGGATCAAACCAATCACTTTTGTCTTGGACCAGTAACACTAGCCTCATGAGTAGATTCCACTTCTCATTGACCTCCCTGTTCTAATCCTTTATCCACACAAGATACGAAACTTGAATTTGTTTATGGTTAGATGTAATGTAATGAAAGAACATACAATGGATTAAGAAATGTGTAAAAGAACCAATACTTAGACTCAGTCAATCAATAAACACTTATCCAAAGCTGTGGTCACCCATTTTTCCAGGAGGCCACAAACTCTGAAATCAATCATGACTCTGATATAAAGAAAACCAGACTTCTTAGTTAAATAAAATCTTTTATTATTTTTGTTCCATTTTAGGATACTCCAATTGGATAGTCCTCCTGTGCTTGTGCAAATAGCCACAGTACAGAGAGAAAAAGATATAAGAATTTACATTTGAAAAATGATCAGAATAAGATCTTCTGTCTTCAGTGATGTGATGAAACTACTCAGTCTCCATCAACTGCAAAGAGCTTCTTTGAAGTTAAAGCTGGTTCCTGACAGCCAGTAATAATTCTTTACTTTGCTATGAAGTTCATGGATGGGGAGATTTCAACTGGACTTGTACTTGCAGTGATCATTTGAAAGGCACAGTACTATGTGCAGCGATGATGAGCAGCAAGAGGAATATCCTGTTCTATACCAAAATGTTTAGCAGCCACAGGATCCAGAGCCACTGCCATATCCACATTTAGATCCATAGCCACAGCCATAGCGGGAGCCATATCCACAGCTGGAGCCATAGCCACAGCCGGAGCCATAGCCACAGCGGGAGCCATATCCACAGCCGGAGCCATATTCACAGCCGGAGCCATAGCCACAGTAGGAGCCATATCCACAGCGGGAACCATAGCCACAGCCGGTGGCATAGCCACAGCCGGAGCCATAGCCACAGCCGGAGCCACAGCCATAGCGGGAGCCATATCCACAGCCAGAACCAGAGCCACAGCGGGAGCCATAGCCACCACAGGAGTTTCCGTAGTAGTTACCACACATGGTGTTGGGAGGTGAGGTTTCAGTAGAAGTGTAGGAGGGTATTTCTGAAGTCTGGATATCCTTCCCTCTTCCAGGACCTTTATATACTTCCAGGGGCGGATGGGTCATACCTCACGTGGGCTCTGTTCTCTCATTTTACAACTATTTGCCTAAAATTAGCTCATTCTGTGTACAACAATTTTATTAGGATATTCTAATGTACTTGCTAATCTAGGAATTATCTACGGCCTTAAAACCAAATAAAGATACATTTTCTAAGCACCCAAGCGTATAGGACCATAATTTCAGCTTCCATAATTGTGTTTCATGACCATGACCTATCACATCACCAAAATATGTTTGACCTATAAATATATGGTTGTTATTTTGTTCTTTCAACGTCTTGGAAATCATTCACTAAACACGAAGTTCTACTTACTACTATTAATAACCTCTTCATCATCACCCTCATCACCATAATCCTCATCATAGCATCTTGGCATCTTTTTAGTCCTTTCCTAGCATTTTTTTTTTTCCATCATAATCACTCTGAAGCACTTTTCATGGGTTTTGGACAAGGAATTGAGTATTTCAACATGTTTTATCTCCTCCCAGAAACATTCTCCTCTCTGGAGGACAGTTTGTCTATTCCTTCCTTTTCCAGCCAGGTTATGATATTCTCTTCCTTTTCTTGTTGTTGAACTCCAGGTGGGAACAGTATTTAATATTATTTAAACAAAAAGGACAAACTTTTCCAAGAGTTTCAGTTTAGGGCAAGGAAAATGCCTTAGTTCAACAACTTCTTTGTGAAAGTCCAGATCTTAAATGTTAGTCTGTTTTTGAGGTTTCTCGGACTGCTCCTATGTTTGCACAATATATCCATACTTCCCACTAAAATGTAGCCACTCAATAATTAATTCTTCCAGACTCCAAAATATTTTCTTGATTTTTATTCTCACCTGTCTTCTACAATAAACAATATTTTAATAATGAGATTTATCTGTACTACTTCTGTTGGATATCTTGCATCATGACATTAATAATAGTTTATCTTTCCATGGTATTTATTATTCATCCTTACTTTTGACTTGATATCATGTTTTCCCATCATTTCCCTGATGAATGGGCTTCTGGTCCATGACCTCTCTTTCACTGACCACCTTTCTTTATTTTTCCCTAAGTTTGGGGCTTCTTGTGGTTACTTTATCCTCTATCTTTGCTTTTTCACTTTATACACTATTAAATCTTACCTGCTGCCACTGATTCAACCACCATATATACACAGGTGACTCCTAAAACTAAAGATCCCTGTATCAGTCTGATTCCAATCAGGAGACAGAAACCATACAGTAGGTTAAACAGAGCAAAGTTCATGTAAAACAAAATTATTAAACCATGATAAGAGTAACTATAAAATATGAGGAAATGCTATATGGTACCCTAAGAATGTGGGAGACTACTCAAAAAAGAAAAAAACTTGAAGGGTAGTTCAGCCCACTGGGAAGCAGAGAAGTTCACTGGTTTGGCCAGACCAGGTTTGTTCTGTAGGGAACAACTCTTCCTGGAGTGCAGATGAAGAAGAAGCAACCAATGGTGTGGGTATGTAGAGGGTCTGAGAAGCTCTGGGATACTGGCACATTGGGGGTGGGGCGAAACTGTAGAGGGAATATGGGTGTCTGTGAGAATAGGAGGCCAACAGGGATTCATGGGTAAGTCTTCAAGGTACAGGTTTCAAAGGAGAGGAGGTCAAATAAAGGTGATTGTCAGTCTGAAGTTCCAGCATCACTGAGGATCCAGCACATTCTGGACCCATGACTGAGTAGAGCTTCACCAGATGTCTTCACATCCACACTGCTGAATACCCTCTACTTCCCTCCAGTGCTGCAGCCAAAAAAAAGCACAACTGCTTCTTTTGCAATGTCCTGATACCACTCACTACTGATAAAGCTTACTTCCATGCTCACAGCAAAGAAGAAACACCTAAAGGAATCCCATGTGTTACCACAGAGCATCTACTGAAGGGTGAATTTGAAGCTGAGAAGCAGTAAGATGATAAATGGCACATATCTCCTCCAAGTTTCAGAGGCTCTGTGATAGAAACTGGACTTTCATAGTCCAATCCACACACAAAAAAAACAGTATGAATTTGTGTTTAGGTGTTGATATGAGAGATGATAAAGAAGCAGAAAAGGAATGAAGTTGCAAACCCAAGAACAAATGGCTGGATAAACCAATAAGTATCTTAAAATAAAATCCAAACAAATCTTAATACCTTACAATATAAGGCTTTGTGTGATCTGGCCCCTACTTACCTCTCCAGCCTAGATTCTTTCTGCTCTCCTGTCCCTGGACCTTCTTACCATCCTTAAACACACTAAACTCCTATTTGCTGAGAACTTTGTACCTGTTCTCCCATCTTCCTCCAACTTTCTTCCCCTTATTCTGACATCTACCCATTTGCCAAATATCAGTTTAGTTGTCACTTCTTTAGACATTTAACCTGATCCTACCTGAAACAGCACGACATGATTTTTTTAACTGGACTTCACATTTTATTTTTTTTAAGTAGGCTCCATGTGGGGCTTGAACTCAGGACCCCAAGATCAAGAGTCACATGTTCTACCAACTGAGTCAGCCAGGCACCCCTGGACTCCACATTTAGAGCAGTTTTATGTTCGCAGCAAAATCAAGCAGAACGCTCAGCTAACATAGTGGTTGCCCATCCTTCTAGGGAGGCCACATATACTAACATTGGTGATGAATCTGGCCCAACAGACACAATAACTTTCAGGAACACATGAAATTTGTTTATTGAAAAAATATAATTTCCTCCAGCTATGAAGTTTTTATGCTCATGGACAATACAAAATCATGGAATAGGATAACCAAGAATTTACATTTTGAACATAACCAGAATCAAATCTTATGTCTTCGGGTAACATGATGGAAACATTCATAATTCTTCAATAACAGGTTCTTCGAGGTAAACACAGGTATTTTAAATGAACCAGGTATTATAGTCTCCAGTTTTATTGGGAAACCGTGTTTGTTTTTTGTCACCAGGCATTGTCTTGAGCCAATTACAAGTCTGTAAAGAAAGTTTCCATCAACCACCCAATCATCTGAGCACATGATTCCAAAGATGTATTTTATGTAACAAGGCTCTGTGGAGGGTAGCAAAGTTTATGTTTGGAAATGTGACTATTAAAATGAGCTTGACTAATTACCTTGACTAGCTTACTAATTACTTCATAGGGGAATTCAGTGGAACTCAATGCTGCCCTATACAGAAATGTTTTATGTTATAGAGTTCCTATGAATCCAAATACCCATGAATATGACATTCTGATAATATATTTTTACCTCAGAGCCATTTCTCTATAAATTTTTATCAACTCTAGGTGTTCATTTAGTTCAAACCAGAACACACATACACACAGATACCCTTTCTGATAAGACTGTTGAAACTTTTGCAAATCTCAAATTTCCTTCACCCATTTTAATCTATTTTATCCCAATAAAAATCTGAAAGAGGCAGATAACTTAAAATATGGAAATTGGAGTATAAGAAGTTAGGAAACTTACTAAAAGTCCCATGACTACTACATTATGAAGATCAAGTGTTCATTCTTCTTTGTTCCACTACACAAAGTCCCCCTTTCTAATCATTGGAGTCTTGGACACTTGCTGTAACAAGCAAGGAGTTTACTGTTTCTTATGGTGACCCATATCATTGTGAAATTACTCTGTTATACAATCCCCACATGCTTCAGAGTCTCTCATTATTTCCAGTGTCATTTTGCATCCTCGATAAAATGTATTTCAATATTGTGTTCACAAGCCAATCTCATCAAGTATGTCTGCTACTTTTAGTTCACTTTCTCTCGCCTTTTAGTTCACTTTCTCTCCAGAGGGGTCTATCCTTGATGCCCATTGGTATGGCTACCTTCTAATCTCTTGATATACAGAAATGATAGGTCACCACAACTCTTACCAGATAATTTAGAGAACAATGAAGGAAGCTTGTGTAAATTATAACAAAAAAATGGCATCTTAGAAAAACACCCATTTATTGTTTCCAGTCTGAGTGGGTCAGGAGTCTAAGCACAGCCTAACTGGGATCTCTGTTCAGGGCCTCATGATATGACTGAGTATCAGCCAGGACATCTGAAAAATCTCTTTCTGTATAACTTAACTAGAGTTGCCAGATTTAGTAGGTATGCCCTAAATGTTGCATGAAACATATTTATTTATACTAAAAATTATCCTGGTTTTCATCTAAAATTCAAATTTATCTATCTTGAGTTTTATCCACCAACCCCAAACATAACATAACCACAGGAATGATATCCCATCATCTTTGCCAAGGTAAGAGGCAAATTACAAGTCCTGCTCACACTGAAGGTAGGGGAGCATACAAGGGTGCATGTCATCTGAAGTCACCTTAGAATTCAGCCTACACATGCCTGAGAATTATTCCTTTAGCCCGAATAGTGATTATGTTTCCTCCAGGCTTGATGATATCTATTGCAGTAAGGTTCCAGAATATAGACACTTTCTGAAATGTATTACAGCTTTTTTCCCCTGTGCAGAGGCTATTTCCCCTTATAATGGACCAACTTCTAGCCATCTTTCATATTTCAGCTAGAAGTTTGTCTCTCTTTCAGAAATATGCCTGACCCTTCTTTGTTTATTCTTAGTCTTGGCATCTCTTTTGGTTTTTTCCTCTGTATTTCCCAAACACCCTTGTTATAATTATATTACAGCAATATTCTGATCTTTGTAGCTTGTGGGTTTGTGTGTGTGTGTCTTCACCACACTTTTAGAAAGCAGGGATAAATATTTTAATTCTCTATTCATAGCACATAATGAAATGTCCCTTATTAGAAGCTCAACAAATATTTGATGATTGAGATTACTCATTCCTCTAATTCTTAAGAAATGGTTCTATATCTTCAAGGAGAATAATCTATCCATTCATCCTCTTGTCCTTACTCTTCCCAAGCCTGTAATTTCTTTCAGGATTCAAGGGATACTAGGAATATTAAATTTATTTAATCATGGGTGGTTGAATCTTGACTCCAGCTCTGACAGTCTTTCTACATCCCAAATGAAGATAAGATTTCTCAATCCAAAACATTATACCTGGCCTCTCTTCCTAGATAAAGCAACATAAAAGTTTCTGGTTCTATATTTTCCTGGTATCAGCATCACTATTTTCACAATCAGGTTTCAAAGCTCAAATCCATTCCTAACCTATAGCATCCTAGAACAGGAAATGGATATGTAAAACTGGTTAATTCCACCCCTCCCATAAAAAATAAATAAATAAATAAATAATTCCACCCCTCCCTTAAAATAACCTTAGTCTTAGGTGATCCTGCCTGGGTTTAGATCCATCCAGTGATAGAGCACTTAATTTACAAATCACTCTTGTTTCAGATAGTGTCACATAGAAAGAGCTCTTGTGTTGAGAAATTTGTATGTCATGGTCATCCACTCACCCCACCCTGATTAGTGTCTCTAGAAAGACACAGAGCACATCTACAGTACTAGTCTTATTGATTTTGCAATGCCAATATTCCAGATATATAACTTTATATACCACCCTGAATTTGCTACAATTCTAAGTGCTAAGATGAAATGTATACTTGTTAGATATTACCTTCTCTAGAATTTTCTCTCAATTCCTTCACTGCTGATATCTAAGATCTTATAGGTTCTACCTTCACAAAATCCCTGATGCTCATCTGTTCCCTTTCATTATCTGTGCCACCAACAGAATCCAGGCTCATTTAACCAGTCCCCAGGTCATTTCTATACTTAACTATTGAGCCTTCTTTCCCTCTCCTTCCAACCCATTTTTCACCATTAGCAATCTCCCATTAAAAAGCAGATTTTTGAGGCATGTCTATGTGTGCGTGCATGTGTGTTGATGAGTATGTGAGTGCTGATTAACATGGAAAGAACAAAATGGATAAACCCAGGATCATAAAGCACAAATGCTTAAGAACAAACCCTTTCATAAAATAAACTAAGAACAGAACACCCAGCCAAGAAGGAGCCATTTTTTCAGGGATGAAATTCAAGATATATAATATTCAGTGTGTCATGAATACTGACCAATCAAAATGGAAGCCAGACATACATAATTGGAATGAACAGTTGAGCCTGAGCCCTGTCAATCTGAGGAGGTCACAGAAATAATAGGCAAAAATATAAGTCAATAGCATATCTGACACAAAAGATACACAAACTTGTGAGGAGCAGTAAAACATGTTTATTTGGAAATCGTCACATATAGAAACAGAGAATAAGAAGGTAATGGGTTTAACCTTGGATTATGGCCCAAATGAGGTCTTCTTCCTTCCAGAGACATCATACAGTAACTCAGGAGCCCTCAATTACAAAGAAGAGTTTCAAGAAGATGATCAGTTTTCTGCAGACTCTGATTACTCTCTTCAGGCAGATCTGATGTGATTGTGGGACACTGAAACAAAACAGCCTTGGAATAATCATCTTAGAAGAAAAGATGTCTTTCAGTTATGTTCTAGCAGCAAGATGAAAAGCATCTTCTGTAGAATGGCCTGCATCCGCAGCAGGCAACACCAGAGCCAGACTTGTAACCACAGCTATATCCACCACCACAGCCAGAGCCACATCCACAGCCATATCCAGAGCCATATCCACAGCCATATCCAGAACCGTAGCCACAGCCATATCCAGAGCCGTAGCCACAGCCATATCCAGAGCCGTAGCCACAGCCATATCCAGAACCGTAGCCACAGCCATATCTAGAACCGTAGCCACAGCCATATCCAGAACCATAGCCACAGCCATATCCAGAACCGTATCCACAGCCATATCCAGAGCCGTATCCACAGCCATAGCCACAGCTACCACACGAGTTTCTATAATAGTTTGAACACATGGTGGCAAGAAATGAAGGCTCAATAGTTCTTTAGAAGAGCAGATGGAGGTTTCTGAAGTCTGAATGTCCTCTCTTGCCCTGAGACCTTTATATACTACCAGAAATGGGTGGAGCATACAACACAAACTCCATAGCCTATTACCACAGCAATTTTAATTTTTAGAAAGCTCATCATTCTAAGGACAACAATTTCTATTCAGGTAGTTATGTCCAGGATTTGGCCCTAACTAGTCATGGGAACATAAGAAAACAAAGGTAACCTACACATTGAATAAGTATGTCTGTGCAATATAATCAAACTTAATTGAGATTTTTCACTCCAGGGGGCACTAACACTCCTGCAATTCCAGGTAAACATACATGGGCATGAGAGATGCTCCAGTATCTCCTCAGGTTCAACAGGAAAGCACCCTGGCTGGAGGTAAGAGGCAAACAGCAGGTGTATGAGGTGAGGCTTTCTCAGGTTATATCTACAAGAAAGTGGATGGAGCCCAGGTAGAATGGCCACTGTGGTGGTGAGAAGATCTAAATGGGTGCAAATCAGAGGTCTGATGCAATATATTAAAATAAAAGCAACCATGATTTTATCCAATGCAACATAATCCATTCTATTTAAGACATTTTTCAGTGTGATACTTCTTTGAAACACCTGCCACTTACATCACCAAGTTTTATCTGCTCCATAACCTACTGATTCTTCAAAGCACAGCTTAGACTATACTTTGTATAGGAAGCATTCCTGGACATTGATAACAAGTATTAGGCGTAATTCCTCTGTTCTTCCATAGCCTACCTCTATTGTGGTACTGAATGTTATATTAGCACACTCTGTCTTAATTATCTGATTCCCTCAGTCAGTTATGAGTTATTTAAGGCCAATAACTTTGTCTTTATTTTATGGGAATCTAAAGAATCAGGCAACTCACTAACTGTTGAATGACAGTCTATGAGATTTTGTCCACCTGTAAAAATTGTTATTTTAATATATAGGATGTCATATAAGAAAAAATAATAACAATAATTATTATTAACATTTATATTTCCTTCCATAGCTTTTGAGATATATTTATCAGTTCATCTGATGCTGACAAAAACAACATAAAGTAGGAAATTGTGGTGTGTATTTTTATACACATTCCAGATGAGAAAAGGGAGGCTGAGGATAGTTAAGTCTTGCCCAAGGACTATGAGTTATTTAGGGGTAAAGTTGAATTTTTCAATCCCCCCTATAACATAAAAGTTAGGGCAAGACCCGTGAATTTTTTTCATGAACTATTTTTTCCTTCAATTTCTCAAATGCAAAATATTCACCCTGACTAAAATTACCAATATTTTACACTTCTGTCACCTGGATTCTCTTTCTTTGTGATCTCACCTTGCTGCCACGCAGACAACTCAGCCCCCTCTCAAACCTGCTCCATGACCCTCTTAAGCATCACACTGTGGTACTAGAGCTGCCCCTCAGCACTTGGAATCTGCCTACTGAGAGTACAATCTTCATAACCTTCTTTAAGTCAGCATTTAAGTAGAAATGATGGTCAATATAGGGTAAAAGCACCTGGACCCACAACTCTTGTGTCAGAATGAAAACCTCAGATTCTAGGCTGCCTTCTAACTATGACTGTCCCAATTTCTTTTTTTTTTTTTTTAAGATTTTATTTATTTATTTATGAGAGAGAGAGAGAGAAACAGCATGAGAGGTGAGAGGGTCAGAGGGAGAAGCAGGCTCCCCGCTGAGCTGGGAGCCTGATGTGGGACTCGATCCCAGGACTCCGGGATCATGACCTGAGCCGAAGGTAGTCGCTTAACCAACTGAGCCACCCAGGCGCCCAATGACTGTCCCAATTTCACACTTCTTTCCACTAAACTATATTCAACATTGGCTCCATTCCTACATACTCCATGACCCCTCCACATTCCATGTCACCTGCTTTCTTTCTAAAACGTGTTGGCGTGACTATTTTTACCCTCATCATTCCATTGAGTCTTTTTCCAGACAGTGACTGAACAGTGCAATTAATTTTACAAGAATTTTTGAAGACCTACTTCATGCACATTCTGGGACATAGAATATTGAATAAAAAGTCTGTATCTAAAGCTTAACGATGAGCTCCATGCTTTAAAAACCCTAGGGAGAGTGGATCATCATTTCCATTGGACCACTCTCTATCCTTCCACCTCATGCAACATGAAGGATTAGATTATTTTCAATCTTCACTCTTCCTTGCCCACTCACTTTTCAATATACTCTAACAAAAACCTACTGTTATCACTTCCTCCCTAAAAAAAAAAAAAAAAAAAAAATTTTTTCATGATAGATCCCATACCATCTGCCAAACCTAACGGAAACTTCTCTAGTAATTAATAGAATTTGATGATAAAATTAAAAGCAGGACCCAATCATCAGAAAACAAACTACTTCACTAAAACCCATTAATTTGTTATGAAAAGTGCATTGACACTGTGTCAATTTACTTGGTATCAGAGCATATGTTAGAGTTTTTAACTATGAAATAGATGTATGATAGATGTACAAAACATCTAACTTGGGACTGTACCCATGCATTTGACATGAGAAAATTGAGATAATGGACTACAAAATTCTGGGATTATCAAATATTGCTAATATTAATAAAATATATAAGTGTGAGCCATAAAATTTTTTGTTAAAATGGTTGTGTCAGCAATTTCATATTGAGCAACATAATAAATATAACAAAAATCTACTGAGTTCTCATAGTAGTAGAGTTTTGCATATTTTATTTGTTTTGTACTCTCAACAATCCTGATCTAGCACTATTTTATCATTTTACCTCTGAATATACTGAGGCTCAGAAGAGTTAAATAATGTACCATGATCACACCACTAATAACTGATGGAGACTATATCAAAGCACAAGTAATGTGACTCTGGAACCTAGACTCTTTTTTTTTTTTTAGAAAATAGGGTTTTTTTATTTAAATTCAATTAATTAACATATAATGTATTATTAGTTTCAGAGGTAGAGTCTTATATAACACCCAGTGCTCATTTCATTGTGTGTCCTCCTTAATGCCCATCACCCAGTTACCCTATCCCCCCACTCCCCTCCGCTCCAGCAGCCCTCAGTTTGTTTCCTATGATTAAGAGTCTCTTACAGTTTGTCTCCCTCTCTGATTTTGTCTTGTTTTATTTTTTCCTCCCCTCCCCAATGATCCTCTGTTTTGTTTCTTAAATTCCATATATGAGTGAGATCATATGATAATTGTCTTTCTCTGATTGACTTATTTCTCCTGAGAGCTTGTTTGGAGGTTCTAGCAGGGGAGCGCAACTACTCCTATACCCTTGACCAAAGAACGGTCCTCCTCTATCAGGGAAGGTCGTCCTCTTCGACCGCAGCTTCAGGAGGGACGCACATGGAGCGGTGAGGGAAGAAGGGGACACCTGCCTAGCCAGCCAGATCAGCCAAATCAACCCCGGCAATCAATGGGGTGACAGATGTCGCAGCCAGATCACCCTCACATCCATGATTGACTTATTTCTCTTAGCATAATACCCTCTATGGAACCTAGACTCTTAATCACTATCTTCACAATTTTCTTCCTGGAAGTGTAGTCATTGGAATGACCTTGAGGAAATGATATCTTGCAGAAAGTGAGTGTAGTTATATACAATGGTTCATGCACCGGGGAACATAGATATCAACTTAATATAGGTTCCAAAGATTTCTAGACATAAAGCAATATTGTAACCTCTTTTATTGATTTCTACGGATTTGTTTTCTTTTTTAGGCTCATAAATAATACATCCATATTGTAAAACTTTCAAAAAAATAAGTTTATTCTCAATAACAAGATGGATGTGGGCAATGGTCTGTTAATTCTTTAATGACCTCGGCTGATGACAGGGAGTCTCATTTGCCAATTTCCATGCTGTAAATATTCTTAGCATGACTAGTTTCAAATTAGCTGGCTTACAAAATTCCTGAAAGTTTGTAACATCTTTTAATACTTTAATAAATTAACTTTCATTGTTTACAACTTTAATCAATATGGCATTTCTTTTGTGCATGATGTAAGGCAGGTATCTATCTTTTCTTTATCCTAAACAGATGACAAATTGATTAATCCCATTTACTGAATAAACTATCTCAGATGAAAACTTTGTTCCTAGGCACCTTCTGAAGTCTTTAGCACTGGCTATTGTGTTCTTACTATCTCAGAATGATCTACTCCTTATACCTGGATAACATGGAGGTATTGCTTGATGGTTGTTGGTGGCCTAACATGACTTCTCTTCCTGGCTACAGTCCTCCCTGGCCAGATCGTTGTGACCTTATAAAACCAACTATACAATAGAAATATATCATGAAACACATAGAATTTAGAACTTTCCAGTAGCCACATTTTAAAAAACCTAAAAAGAAACAGATGAACTGCTTTTATAACATATTTTATTTAATATACCCAAAATATTACCACAATATATAATCAACAGTTCTTTAATTGTTTGATATAGTTTTCATTCTTTTTTTATACGAAGTCTTTGAAATCTAGTGTGTATTTTACACTTAAAATGCATTTCATTATGGACTAGCCACATTTCAAGTGCTCAATAACAATATCTCTCTAGTGGCTACCATATTGGACAATGCAGCTAAAGAGAATCTCAGAATTCCCATATGGGGGTGATGCTGAATATAAATTTTCCAATAGAGGTTGCTACTTAAGTAGTAGCTGCCAACTTACTCACTTCTTTTTTAAAATACCTCTTCCTTGAATTTTATTTTCCCTCTCCTGTAACAGACCAATTTCAACTCATCCTTTATGGCTCTTCTCATTTGTAATTCTCCTTTAGAAGCTATTTCTAACCCTTTTCTAGTCTTCTTGTCATGACTTATTTTGGTTTCCCTCTTGAATTCTTCCTCAGTAGCACTATAACACCCATAAACACACATGCTAGGATGGGAATGTGTGATTTATTACTTTGTATCCAAATGAACATTTTTAATTATTGGAAG